TTTTTTCATGAAAAAAATCAGGAGGCACACCACCATTAGAAAATGTTAAAAAAATTTAACTCTGTGCCTATATTGACTATAGGCGGGGGTTTTTCCCATGGCACACCTTACAATATGTCACAGCACACTAGTGTGCCGCGTCACAGTGGTTGAAAAACACTGATCTAGGGAACATACATCTTGTCTACTAAAATATGATAGTACACTGTCATATTGTTTGCTAATATCAAAATATGTTTCTAATACTCCAGTAATGTATACACTATAGGTAGTCCACAACTTATGACCACAATTGAGCTCAACATTTCTGTTGCTAAGCAAGATAGTTGTTAAGTGGGTTGTGCCCCATTTTATGATGTTTTTGCCACAGTTAAGCGAATCTGGCTTCCATTGACTTTGCTTGTCTGAAACTAGCTGAGAAGGTTATAAATGGTGATCACATAACCCCAGGACAGTGTGACTGTTATAAATACATGCCAGTTGCCAAGTATCCAACTTTTAATTATGGAACTGTGGGGATGTTATAATCATTGTAAGTGTACAAACCAGCCTTAAGTCACTTTTTTCCTTGCTGTTGTGATTTCAAACTGTCACTAAACAAATAGTTGCGAGTTAAGGACTACCTGTAATATTCTTGTCCCCAAAAAGGTGCACTTGCATGTTTTATTCCAGATAACACCTACTATTATAACAGTAATATGTCCTTTTCTTGAGATGTTGAACTCAGTGTCTTAATACATTGCACAATAACAGTCAACATATTACTAATAATTACTCTTCAGGGATTTTTAATCTACCTAAGGCATTGCAAGAGTAAAGAGTCCTGTGGGATCTCTTATGTTATCATATATCATTTATTTTCTTTGGTATGCACCTCTATGTGTATGTGGTTATACTAACACAAATGCAGATATTCCACTAAGTCTGTCATAGTAGTATACAATAAAAAGAAAAAAAATTAATAAAGAACTTATTCAACTGTTCTGCAACCTCCTTATCCTCTTTGTTACTTCTTTAATTTTCTTATTCAATTACTTCCTGGAAGATTTCCTCATTCTTATGGTTTTATTGTCAGTTTAATTTTGTTCTGTTCTGTTATTCAAAAGTCTTTTTTTGCATCACATTTGTTTTAGCAGGTTTTAGAAACCTAAAAAAACCCCTTCTTTTTAGTAATAGTAATGTTCTCACAATGTGAGTTGATTTGGTGCTTGTCTCTTTGAAAGTATAAGAAAGCTGTGTTTTCTCTTTGACTCACTGGGTTTGCAAACATTTAAAGCTATCTATTTATCCCATTTCCAGGAACTCTTGCTTCTCCTGGTCTTCTAGACTTAGGACAGCAATTATTCTTCTCTAAGCTTAAAACTAACTGCATTGTTCCTAATGCTTTTTTAAAATTGTTTTCTAATTATTAACAAAAGAAAAGATAAAAGAGCAAAATAGTGANTGATGATGATGATGAATTTGATGTATTATTGTAACTGTATGGATATATAGTTATATTATTAATAGTATTGTGATGAATATTATAACAAATATGTGAATTTTGATTGTTTAAAACCCTGATGCCACACGGTTTGGTGGAAAAGGAAAGTAATATAAATAAAACAAAGAAAACATGAAAAAATCCATTAAAAATTCTCTAGAGAAACGTCTGCACGCTTAACATTTATAAGGCTTACCAAACCAAGGTTTAATCCTTTCCATTTGGTATCTTTTGCCCAGCAAGTTCCTGTTTTTAGTAAATACTTCACACCCTATGCTCTTCATAAGAAGATTCCTAATTTCCAAATTGTAATGCTGTGTATGGTTTTGAGGCAGACTTAGGTGATAGATGGCATCTTCTTTCAGCGGCGTGGTAATAATTACAAAGAGGAGGGAATCTTTGCATTATGTTAAAAAGGAAGCCACACATTTCTGAGAGACACTTTAAAAAAAAAAGCCTTTTTAGCACATTGGGAACAAGTTTGCCGCTGGCAAAAACCCAGCAGCGCTCGAGACACTTTGCCTGCAATGAAATTGCACCTCCACTTGAAAGTCCGGAGGCAGGCAGGCACGGAAAGCCGAGACAGAGCCGAACGTCTCCATGGCGACCGCTAAGAGACAGCCATGGCGACTGAGGAGCGTGAAGGAAGCGCTGCGGGTAAGTACGGGAGTTTAGAGAGCAGCTCCAACATTTCCTCTCTAATTTGTACCTCCAGTCGACTATCTCCTACACTTTTTAAAAAGGCTTTAAAAAAAATATTATAGGAGAGTTAGGTTACACCTTTTCCTGGCCTACCGCCTCATTTGAAGTTTATGTTCTGTAGGACTTTTTTCAGTCTCCCAGTAGAGTCCCGGTTTTCTTTCCCTTCTTTCCTCACACGAATCCTCGGGACAAAACGTAGCCACGCTGCTCCATCCCTTGTGGCTCTAGAGATAAAATTCTGGATTTCAAAACGCCTTTTTGTTATCAACGATAACAGAGAATTCTAGCAATTCGTGCCTTCCGCAGGCTTCGTTCCTATTTTAAAGCATTCATTGATGTTGGATTATTTGATTTGCTTACTTCGAGAACTTGGAGTGCTGCCCTCAAGATAGTCCAGAGCAACTACTTTCTTATTCAGCCTAAGATGGATATATAAAATTTGGTGCCTAGACTTATTAAAAATCATGTGTGATTCACAATCACTCATCTGTAAAGAACCAAAAGCTGGTCTTGTTGCTGTGACTGTCCTGTGGATTATATTGAGTCAAATGCGACTAACTATATTTTAGTGTAAAATGTAGACTGTAGATATTTTATGCTTCAATTTGCCATGAAAACAACAAAATGTGATGTTTTAATGAACCATCTTTATGTGAATAATGGGTAGGTTTATTTTGCAAACATAGACAGTGCTTTAACATTCTTAGGGCAACCAGGATAGCATGTGCATTTTTTCTCCCAAATCCAAACAAATTGGATAAAGAAAGTGATAAAATTTGAAATGTGTAATTACTTAAAATGTATCAGAAAAGAAAGATTTAACAGATTTATTCACAAATGCAACATTTAAGTATACAAATCCAGGCATGTCTTTAAAATGTTGACCATAGTATTTGTAAATTATAGGATAGGAATGTGTTTACAATATATAGCTGTTGAAATTTCTAGAAAATGTATAGATCTTAAAGACCTTTTTCAAATATTTGCCACTGGTCAGTGACTTCATATCTATCCCGAATATTCATTATAAAGAGTAGCAGTACATAAAAGACATTAGTTTACATGAACAGGATAACTCTATCTGTATACTTTATATGTATTAAAAAGAAAAAAAAAGTCTTGACGATAACTATTGTGACTGTACTGAACCATGCAGATAACTTCCACAACTTATCGATTTATGCAAAGGATATGTTTTCTTATTGAGCAGTACTAATAGAAAGATAAATGATAATAAAAGAAATTAAATCTTGAGTCATTTTAAAATTGTAATTATAGCTCTTTATTCTATCCCTCATAAAACAATACTATCTTGATTCTTCATCATTTTTGTCATTTTCTTGTAGATAACCTCCAGTTTAACAATATCCTTACTAAAATGAAGCATAAACAAGACATGATTTTCAGAGACATGATTTTCTATGTTGAATGCCATAGTCTAAAGTATAGGTAGTCCTCAACTTACAACAGTTTATTTAGGATCACTTAAAGTTACAATGGTACTGAAAAAAGTGAATTACTGTATGACCATTTTTTACCGTTACAACCTTTGTAGCATTCCCCAAAATTGTGTCATCAAAATTTAAATGCTTGGCAACTGATTCATGCTTATGACCATTGCTGTATCCCAAGGTCATTTGATTATCTTTTGCAACCTTTTACAAGCAAAGTCAATGGGGAAGCCCGATTCACATAACTAAATTACTAAACCTATCAGCTACAGTGATTCACTTAACCACTGTGACAAGAAAGGTCCTAAAATGGGGTAAAACTTACTTAACAAATGTCGCACTAACAACATAAATTTTGGGCTCAATTATGGTAATAAATTGAGGACTACCTGGATACTATACTCCTGTTACAATAGCCTAATAAACAGCCACATCACACTCCTGATTCAGATACTAAGACAGAAGACTTTTACTATTTTAGTTAGAACGCTTTTTAATAGTGTTATCTAGGGCAGTGTTTTTCAACCTTTTTTGTGCAAAGGCACACTTTTTTCATGAAAAAAATCA